TTTCAAAAATGCTGAAAAGAAAACATGTTGTTTCATCAAAATTTTCAAAAACTCTAATATAATTGCATGTAAATTATTAGATTTTCTCAGACATTTTGAAAATGTCGGTAAAAATTATTTTCCTAAAAATGCGGTATGAATATTAAAACGCCGGTAAAATTACAAAGTTTTAACCAAAAAACGGATTTACTTGTAAAAATTCGATAGAATGACTTTAAAAAAAGCAATAAATTACACATTTTTTGTGAAAGGTCTAAAAGATGACAAATGATATGTGATTTTTGCTTCTTCTTTTTTTATGTCAAAGGGTATTATATTAAAAGAATAACTTTGGGGTGTCGGGTTGAATTTTGTTGTTTTCACTAATAGCTTATATGTTTAAGTTAAAACATAACATACACATTATGATTTTTCAAGCGCACACGTAATATAAAATTGAACGTAAATTATGAGATTTTCTCACATTTAAAAAATGTCGGTATAAATTTAATGGTTTTCTAAAAATGCGGTATGAATATTAAAATTCCAGTAAAATTGCAAAATTTAACGAAGAAAAGGACTTGTAAAAGACCAGTAGAAGACTAAAGAAAACAGTAAATTGCAGTGCTTTTTTGAAAGGTTCAAAGAATGACAAATGATATGTGATTTTTACTTTTAAAAAAAATGAAGAAGAAGACGAAAAAGACAATGATGATGATGCCGTTTCAAAATCTAATGCACTGCATGATGACCCATCTTCCTCACAAGAAGTACACAATATTGATATTCCAGAAAGCCCCTCAAATTCTTCTTCTAATGTCCCTATTCTATCACAAACCATGAATGCATCTTCGTACATAAAAGTCGCTCCTTTACTCATATTTTGTGGCACTCTAAAGGAATTCCCAATAACTTATTTGAGTCATTTCAGCAAAGTATGCATAGCAAATAATACATCCTCCATTGAAATACAAAAGAAGATCTTCCTCATCACTTGAAGAAGAATATGCACTATGGCACGACCTCAACATCAAGCCTTACTACCTTTCTCTTTCATAGGGGCTTATGGGAATTCATCAAGGTGAGAAGGAACATGTTAGATCTTTTGAAGCAGAACTAGAGTTAGAATAAAGAACAAGTACAACAAAAAGAAAAATCAGAACAATCCTTTTTTTGTCACCTCAGTGAAAAGGACTAAAGTAAAAAAAAAATGAAGAGGAGGCGCTGCCAAGAAGATGAGAAAATGATTAGGTTTACCCATTTTATTTTGGTTTTTTAATAATGATTATATTATATTAATATTTTGGAATATTTAAAAAATACATTTACATAAATTTAAAATAAAAAATAATTGGAATGGTTCAGTAGTGAATTGGCAATGATCCATCAATATGAGTGTCAAGTCATTAAAAAATGCTCTCAAATGAGATTAAAATCTTAAAAAAAACAAAACAAAATAAAAGGTTAAAACGCCAGATTTTAAAATGGCAAAACCAAAAAATAATAATAATAGAATGACTAAAATTATAATAAGAAAAAAAATAATTTTAAAGAGATGCGAGTTAAATTTTAAAAGTGCACAAATTCTAAAAAAAACAAAGCCAACCAGAGAAGAGATATTTTTCATTTTTTTCCTATTACCCTCTATCTTTTTTTTCTCTCTCACTAATATCCTCTATCTTTAAGTTAAAACATAACATACATATTATGATTTTTCAATATTTTGTACACATAACATAAAATGTAAAAATGTTAGAAATTTTGCAGCAAATAATTTATTAAGAATAATTAAATTCATTTATTAAATTAAATAAATAAAATTAAAATAGTTAAATTAATTTTATTAATTAAAAGTAAATAAGGATTTTAAATATTTTTGTTTAAAAAATTATAATATAAAAATATTATTGTATTATTTTTCAAATAATCTATATTCTCTGGAAGTTTTACCCCATACCCCTACACTTATACCTATACCCCTACATTAAAAAATTTTGGACCAAAATATCCTCGTATAAAAATTTATTATTTTTTAATTTTTTTTAAATTTTTTTATTTGTTTACCGGAAGACTTTTTGGAAGTCTTCCGGTTCACATTTTTTTAATATGTTTACCGGAAGACTTTTTGGAAGTCTTCCGGTACATATTTTTTTCGTTTGTTTACCGGAAGACTTTTTGGAAGTCTTCCGGTTCATATATTTTTTTTAATTTGTAATTAATATTTAAGATTTATTAATTTTATATAAAGACCAATTTAGTAAATTTTTGAATATTATACTTAAAATATAAAAATTCTATAAATAGAGAATCATTTTCAAAATATTTTCTATTTACTATAATTATTAGAATATTGGATTAAAATCATTTATTTTAAATGTTCATAATAGTAGAATTTTCTCAAATATCTTATTAATCTTAAATATTAATAAATAAAATAAATTTAAATATAAGATATAAGTATACATTATTCAATATATTTAATCAAATGAAAACATATGTGATAAATAAATAATGTATTTTAACTTAAAATGATCACAATAAGTTAACTTGCAAAATAATATAAGTAATAAATTAATAATGTATTTTATTTAAAATAATCACAATAATAAAATACGCAAATAATGTGTTTTATTTATAGGACTGATATAGTTTTATTGATTATTTAATTTTGAATACTACTATGAATATAGTATTTAATCTATACTTTAGAACTCACATAATTATAAATATAAAAAATATTGTTTTATTATCCATATTTTTATTTAATTAAAAAAAATAAGAATATAAATTTATTATTTGTTTTTCATTTTTGTTTGATCTTTTTAATTATTTCACTTTATTTAATATTTTTAATAAAATAAATAATATATTTTATTTAAAGTAAGCACAGTATAGAATATGCAAAAAATTTATAAATAAAAAAAAGATCAAACGAAAATGAAAAATAAATAATAAATTTATATTCTTATTTTTTTTAATTAAATAAAAAAATGGGTAATAAAACAATATTTTTTATATTTATAATTATGTGAGTTCTAAAGTATAGATTAAATACTATATTCATAGTAGTATTTAAAATTAAATAATCAATAAAACTATATCAGTCCTATAAATAAAACACATTATTTGCGTATTCTATTATTGTGATTATTTTAAATAAAATACATTATTAATTTATTACTTATATTATTTTGCAAGTTAACTTATTGTGATCATTTTAAGTTAAAATACATTATTTATTTATCATATATGTTTTTATTTGATTAAATATATTGAATAATGTAAACTTATATCCTATATTTAAATTTATTTTATTTATTAATGTTTAAGATTAATAAGATATTTGAGAAAATTTTACTATTATGATCATTTAAAATAAATGATTTTAATCTAATTGTATTCTAATAATTATAGCAAATAGAAAATATTCTGAAAATAATTCTCTATTTATAAAATTTTTATATTTTAAGTATAATATTCAAAAATTCACTAAATTGGTCTTTATATAAAGTTAATAAATCTTAAATATTAATTACAAATTAAAAAAAAATATGAACCGGAAGACTTCCAAAAAGTCTTCCGGTAAACAAACGAAAAAATATGAACCGGAAGACTTCCAAAAAGTCTTCCGGTAAACATACGAAAAAAAAGTGAATCGGAAGACTTCCAAAAAGTCTTCCGGTAAACAAATAAAAAAATATAAAAAAATTAAAAAATAATAAATTTTTATACGAGGATATTTTGGTCCAAAAATTTTTAATGTAGGGGTATAGATACAAGTGTAGGGGTATGAGGTAAAACTTCCAATAAAAATGCCTTTTGGGTTTTGGGATTTGTAAGACCCAATCCAGACAGATGCTTGTAATTATGTGCCGGTTTGTTTTGTCTTTTTTTTAAAATAATTTTTATAATGTAACGTTATTTTGTAAAAAAAAATTACAAAAAGAAATTTTTCATAAAAATTTGATTTAAATAATTATTCTTAAAATATTATTTTAGATATATTAATATTTTATCAAAAAAAAATTTAGATATTAAAATTTAAAAAAATTATTTAATTTTGAAACTATTTCAAATAGTTTTTTATAAAAATTATTTTTAAGATACAAATTTTTTTAAAATTGTGATTTCAACTACGTTTTGATCTTCAACAATTATTGTATGATGTCAAAATTAATCTTACAATTTAAAAAAAATATATATATAAAAAACTTATAATATTTTAGAAAATAATTCTAAAAAAAATTTATTTTTTAAAACTAAAACAAAGGTGCCCTTCGAAAAGATTTATGGTTTAATTGATAATGGTAAGAAATTGAAAAGACAGAAATACATGACTACTCCTTTAAAATTTTCATCTTTATACTCTCTAGTTTCACTTTTCATCAATTACTTCTCCTTTTAATTCTTTATCCTCTTTAGTTTTCATCAATTAATTCTTTTCATTTTGATTTATATTAAAATTAAAAATTGTCCAAAAAGACTCCTTTTAATTTTTCATCTTTATCCTCTTTAGTTTTCATCAATTACTTTTCATTTCGATTTATATTTAAATTAAAAATTATCCAGAAAACATTAACCACTTCTAATTATCATATCCAAACATAAATTAATAATACTCAACTCAATTTTCTCAAAACCAAACATAAATTAATTATACTCAACTCAATTTTCTCAAACCCAAACATAAATTAATTATACTCAAGTCACTTCTATAATATCATATCCAAACATAAATTAATTCTACTCAACTCAATTTTCTCAAACACTTGTGTCTTGGACAAATATGACATCAGAATGATCAAATTTTGTGTCTTGGACAAATATGACAACCGAATGATCAAATAAATTTGGTACAATCATTAGATAGTTGTTTCTTATTTAGGTTAAACGTAAGATAGTTCCAGAGAACCTCAAACACAATCCAATCAAAAGTTTAGAACTGGGAAACTCAAACACCTCTAATTACAACACAGGTAACAAAGAAGCAATATATAAGTTAGCATTGACATGCAAATTCTTCAACCAGTTTCTTGCTCAAATTCCTCACCCTCAGACTCCTCTGCATTGTCAGGATCATCGTCATCAGCCTCATTGTCAAAGTCTTCCTTATCATTTTCATTTGTTGTTTTCCCTATCACAATCAGATTGCTGTTCATCTTCCTGATTTCATTGCACTGCAATGGTTTGAGCCAAACAATGAGGGGATGTATAGAAAGCAAATTAGACATTCAAAGAGCGCACACCCTCACGTATTCCTCTATGATCTGAACATTTCAGCTTTTACATGATGACTACTATATATAAATATAGACTCACTCCCTTGCAGTGGCGGAGCTAAACTTAATTCTTTTATGAAATAAAACAGTAAAAATAGAAAAGTTGGAGTTGAAGACTCAAAATCGTGACAGCGTCACAAAACGAGCTTGTAGCCGCTGCGCTACTTTGAAAGCATTAATATTATGCTCCGCGATAACAGAGAAATTTTTGGGATCTTTCGGGTCTATCCTAAAGGAGCTCCACCTCTGCAATTCTGAATGAACAAAACTTGAGTGTATTTCCTTGTGTTAATCGAATAGTTCTTAACTTAAAGTACACTTTCTAAGGTTATAACAAACTTTGAGAAAATCATAAATAGTTAAGTTAAAAACTATAACTTTGGGGAGGAAAAATGCAAATAGCTAAACCTATGTTGTTACTTTGAGGGAGGAAATGCAAATAGCTAATGTTTAATTCTGAATCTATTGCTTTAACTATTGCTTATATATGCCGGAAAATCACATTTGATTTTAGGTTAAAATTATTTATTACTTATCAAATCCAAAGATTCAAAACCATATATAGAGAACCCTAATTTCTCTCTTAATCTAAAACTCTGGAACATTCAAACCCTCACAGGACAATTAGGAAATAGTTAATTGTTTAAGCGAAGAGGAGAGAGTACCTTTTCTTCAAAGTCAGACTCCTCCATAGCTAAAAGGAGTTCTTCACTTTGGGGCTGAGGCCACTGAGAGGGTAGCAAATACGACGTCGGAATCATCCTCGTCGACAGTTGGTACTGCGTCATAAACGCCGGAAACTGTAACATCTTCGGTTCTTTGTTTTTTTCTTTCTCTGTTTCTTGATCAGTGACAGTGAATAATCATTCTCGTTTACGTTAATTTGGGTCTCCATTGATATTTTGGGTATGGGCCGGATCTTCGTTTGGATCTAGTGGATCTGAAGGCCCTTTGTTCGTTTTCTTTCCTAGACTGTGAGAAATTTCCCTGGCACTCCTAATTTGTGTATGATACTCCAATATTTTAATAATATCAAAAATATTTTATTAATTTTTTTAATTAATCAATCTTTGCAAAAATAAAAAAATTGTCAAGCGCAAAAATATATGGTAGGGCCAATATAAAATTAAGTATATATTTTTACCGAGTTATTTTAAATATCGGTGTGTCAAAAGAGTTATTTTAAATATCGGTGTGTCAAAAGATTTATCAAAAGTTTTTAAAAAATCGAATATATCAAATTTTCCCCTACCCCTTAAAATATGATAGTGCTATTTTTGTGCAGTAGTGATTTTGCTAACACTTTTGTAAGGTTGTGATCACTCCTACATTTTTGTGTGGTCAATAATGATTTAAAATTTGTATAAACATGTCATATATGTTGTTAAATAAAATATCTTGCAGTGTCTCAATTTTGATATCTTGAATTTGTGTACTTCAACGGCATGAGTCCTCTTATTAATTTTAGGCTCACATAGGACACCCTTATTGATGGTCTAAAATTCAAATTGGATAACCTCTTGCGCTATCGAGACGACAAAAGGATGGTTAATATCGAGTATCGTTCACCATCGATTGAAGACTGATGATGATTTAAGAGTTATGTGGAGAATATTTCACTAATACCAAACACATGGTCATATGAGGTGGATGCGACAACTACAAGATTAGTTGATGATATTACAAAATGTTGAAACGTTCTGAATCATCTAGCTATGTTTAAGTTATGATCTTATTTTCATGTTATGTTAAACAATATTTATATTAAGTTATGTTCATCCTTCAATAATGTAATGTTAATTTTCATCTAATGCAATGTTAATATAAAGTGTGAACAATATATAAATAATTAAGTACCAATCTAAAATAATGTCAACGACAATGAATGATGAACAAATGAAATCTACACTAGTATACTATAGACAATGTGTCTTATTTGCGATAATCTGACGTAGACCTCACCATCTAGGTTTACCAAACCCATGAAGTTATCAGAGAGAGGTGTTATCATCTGCAACCAATGTTGGTAAGCCATACTAGTTAAAGGTGGAGAGGTAGTGAGATGTCATATGAATGTTCTCTATTATGTGAGGGTCCAACATCATCTGCAGGATGAACATGTGGGATAATGTAAAGGTATGATACTCTTGAGTACCACTCTAAATAATCATTTAGACACAGTCCGAGAAAATCCACCTCTATTGCATTTTCTCTAATAGCAATGACATTGTTAAGAATGTTATACCTAAACCATTTATCAATGCCCCCATATGAGACTACATGAACTAGTCTAGCAATGCCTTGAACATAGTCAAATTGTCGTAGACACCTCTCAGACAAATAAGCAACCACATAACTCTCTCGTTGCATATAACCCCAAAAAATGACAGTGTCATCGAACTCCAGATGCACTTTATGATCTTCATAGGGTGTCCATATGACATCATCCATAGTCAGAGCATTGATCCTCCTCGTGTACTCTAGAAGACCTACTGAATCAAAATGCTTGAACCTTTGTTTGGTGGCGCGTGGGGAACCATCAATGATAAGACCATAATCACACTTATCATAAATGAATGGGAAATTATAATAAACACAAACTATATATAAGAAATGCCTTTGATAATAAGAATGAAATAAATAAAACATAATAAACATTCATACTTGAAATAGACTCGTATAACCTGCAAGTTGTCTCGTCTCAAAGGAAATTGCCTATCTAAGGGCAATATAAAATATTTTCAAACCATCACAACCTCATGCCTAATAGACATGCTTAAAGTGAGCAAACAAGGATATGTATCTGGGATCATTGTATACATATTACTCATTTGCTAATATGATACTTTCTACAAGATACAACATGTATACCCTAGCGATCGCCTCATACATATAATGTTTCACCAGTGGCTAGTACATATCCTAAATCTAAGAGAGACATAAATGAGCACCCATGTTCGCCTTTAACTCCTACAATACATTCCCTCGTGAAACACCTATATATGTATCAGTAGCCATTCATGCAATTTCCTAGTCCATTATTGGATGGATGAATAAGTTACCAGCAATAGGGATATGGAAGAGGTTGGAGACATCACCTCGGATAATCACAATCTCACCAAATAGAAGCTGAAAGGAAGATGTCTCATTATTCCATCACGCAACACAAGTATAGAACAATGGAGCATCAAGCATGGTGAGTAAACTATCCACCAACGGAAGCAGCCCAACATCCAAAACAATCACCTTGACATGATTAGACATCTCCACTTCAAAAAAAATCAACTTTAAATCATGAGCGGGAACCTTCAATGAAGCCCGATCATGTAACAAATAAAACATAAATAATCAATTACATTCAATCAATCACTAATAAATTAAAACAACTCAAATTGAAATATTTATATCTCTCGCTGCCATAATCTAAATGCCACATTATTGACATACCTATTAAGTAGGTAGGGTCGAATGGCTCTCCAAGAAACCTCCCATCTGTGTTAGCCTGAATAGACTCCTCAATATCAGTTTAAACTGGCATCTCTATATCAACTAAACAAAAATCTCTGAATTAGTCTGAGCAGGAAAATTTGTACCATCCTAAATTGTCACCTCTACCTCAACATCCTCCACAACGACATCATATGGCTCAACATCATAATCTCAGTCCCTTCCAACTCTACCTCTTCTAAGTTAAAGAGTACATGGTCTATGAGACTGCTTAATCCTCATATTATAAGAATTAGTAGGGATTACTTTACCCACCCTAGTTTGCAGATGACTTCCTCTGTCATCTTTATCGCCTCCACCTGAGCTCTCTACAAATCTCTCTCCCTTAACCTAGAAATGATTTTGCCATCTCTTCCTCTTCTTCTCATTACAGACAAAAAGACTCAATAAATAAATAAATGACTTATTAGATTTTTTGAAATATCATGTTACACCCTTACAAATATGGATATTTTTGAAAATTTTAATATAAACATATGTGTTTTTATAGATAATTGATATATATTTGGTATGACAATATTGTTAGATCAAGATTTGGTTATGCATCTAGCCTTTAGTTTTGATGATAACAGCATATTGGCTCTTAGAGAATAATTTTGTATACTAATAATCTCTATCAAGTGTGTATCTTTTTAATCTATAGGTTCTGACTCTGAAGTATTGACGGGTGACGTCATCAGATTCTAAGTTAGGCACATTCTAACTCTAAAGAGAAACAAGCAGCGTCAAGATCAAGAGAGTTATTAGACAATGGTTTTGAAGAACGTTTGTGCTAAAGCCTCTGATCAAGATTCTAACTAATGAGACTCTGAAGGTTTTGTATTACTCAAGACTCTTTGCTCAAGATTTGAAGATTTTGAAGAACGAAGTGCTAAATAATCTGAAGACCAGGTTCTGATGTACTATGTTAAGACTCTGAAGACTTTAGTTCTGAAGGTTCACAACAAAGCCGTTGAATATTCTAACAATGCTTCAATCACTTGCATTCAGAAGCCTCTGATACTTAGAAGATAACAAGAATAGACCGTTAGATGAGAGATAAATAGTACCTCTTACAAGATCAAAACATTCCTTCCACTACGCGGATTTCATGGAGTATGGACATTTATGATGTACGATTTTGTATCCCACCTTAATAACAGATATTCAAGGCGCCAACTCATATTTGAAGTTTACCATTATATCTTATAATGGATCTTTCCTTAGCTATAAAAGGAAGACTTGAAGAACAAACTGGTAACTCACAAGTTATTCACTACTATTCAAGATGTCATACTCTCTGATATTATTCTTGTGAACATTGTATAGACACACTTAGAACTTTTATTTATATTGTGTGAATATTTTACCTGTACTTAAACATTGTGTTAATATGCTCTGTAGAAGTAATCTTTATAAATACAACTATAAAATCTCAAATCTGTTTGAGTGGTTACCTTGAGTGATTAGGGTTTAGCCTCTATACTTAAAAAGACAAAGATGGTTGTCTTTGTGGTGTCTATAATTAGTTTGATTATAATGAATTAAGTCTTTTTGACAAGGCGAAATCACCTTGGCGGGTGGATTAGAGGTAGCTTAGTTAACAGCGGATCAGGATAAAAATAACTTGTTATTTTTATTATTCTTGTTCTTGTTTGTTGGATTAATTTTTCAAAAGCATTGATTTTTAGAAAATCAATTCAACCCCCCCCCCCCCCCCCCCATTTTATTGTGTTTTTCGTAACCTTTAATTGGCACCAGAGCTCCGGTTCTATTCTTGATAAGATTATCAAACACCTATCAGCGTCAGATAAAGATCCAACGTGAAGCACAATGGCTTTCATTTTACCTCCAGTTGCTCAAAATAATGATAGAGATCACTATAATGTTAAACCTCCAATTTTTTATGGAGATAAATTTGACTATTAGAAGGACAAAATATAAATATTTTTTCTAGGCTATGATGTATATCTATGGAATATGGTAGTCTATGGCTACGTACACCTAATAGATGCTAGTGGCAACAAAATCGAAAGAAGAGTGATGACAGATTAACATAAAAAGTATTATAAAAGTCATCACAAAGTGAAAACCATCTTGTTAAATGCCATTTCATACATTGAGTATGAAAAGATCACCAATAAGGATACAATAAAATCTATATTTGACTCTCTGAGGATGACGCATGAAGGAAACACACAAGTGAAAGAAACCAAGGCTCTGACCTTGATTCAAAAATATGAAGCGTTCAAGATGGAGGACAATAAAATAGTTGAGAACATGTTATCAAGGTTTAAAACACTTGTCACATGGCTTAAGGTTTTGGACAAAAGGTATTCTACTGCTGATCATGTCAAAAGGATCATCGGAAGCTTACCTAAGCATTGGAGACCTATAGTAATTGCCTACAAAATGAAGTTTACCGTGCAACGCAAAGGTAGCTTCGGTGGATCATATGAGTACAAAACTAGAGGATAAGAAATAAAATATGAATGTGGAAACATTGCTTAGGTAACAGGGAAGATCCTGATTCTGAAGTCAACTTTTTTAGAAAAGCCAGCAATTACGGTAACCATGTGCGAACGTGGTTAAAATTTATATTGTTGGGTTAGATGTAGTGATTACATACATGTACTAAACGTTGCGTTATATGTAAATCTACTCATGCAATAATATTGTCGACTCCTTAATCTTAACGTTTATTTTAGCTTTGCAACCTAAAACTTGTTTTCATGGTGTGACTTGACATCGAAAACTGTTTGTCATTAGTAGATCCAAGGTAATCACATATTGAGTACTAAGCCTAGACATAAGTAAAGACTCAATATCCACACGTATTATAGCAAGACCTGTGTGGATTCTCGCTATTTTACGTCTGTTTGGACTTAATTCTCTGTGTTGGTTAATAGTAACATATATCGTTATATTGGATACCACAATGATCTCACAATGTGAAGATCAAAAGGAGATACAAATGGGGGTAACATGTGGTAGTAATATGTGATGAGCAGAAAAACATATTACTTACCTATGGATGTGCGTATGTAATGATGAAATTCTCATTGTTAACACAAAAACCTCCAACTTTATTTTTTGTCATTTATTTTTTGTCATTTACTTTTTCCACGTCACAACTAACATAAAACCCTTTTCTTACTTACAATAATAGATCACTGCTACTTTGTCTTTGAAATCATTGATCTTTGTGGATACGATAATTGTAAAACTTACTTTTGCTGCTAGCATATCATTAACCTACTTAAAAGTCAATTTTATTTGAATATATATAAATAAACAATTCAATTAATATTTATATAGAGTAAAAAATTAAAAGATCAACTATATTAAAAATTTATTATATTGACATATTCAAGTTTTTCTAATAGCATAAGTTTTGTGAGACTATTTTTTTAAAAGAACTTATGAAAATAATTTATGTCATTGTTCATTAGATTTTATTTTTGTATTTTAATTCAAAATGTTATATATAATACAATAATAATAATAATAATAATAAAATTCATATTTGTTTAAATAGTTTGGCCTAATAAAATTTAATAGACTTTTTTTTATATATAATTTGAGACTTAAATAGGCTTACAAATATACATTCTTTATTTAAAAAAGAAAAAACCTAACCTATTCTAAATCTGCCTAGGCTAGAACGTATCTAAATTGATCTACCTTATTCCCACCTCAATCTCACGTGCTAGAAATAAAATTTGAATGCATGTAACAAATACTAAAGTGAAAAGTGATCGAATTCGGGAATTATAGTCATGCGCTTTCTGCATCATACATGTGTAGTGTAAGTAACTCGTCACCTTGGCTTGTATTCGAAGTAGACGAATGTTCATTCCTCGCCTGCAAAAGCTATCTCCCACCGCCAACTTATTTTATTTTAATCCCGCGCCAATACTTATCCTATAGCTCATGCAAACGCGATTTCTATTTTTTTTTTAACTTTCCTCTTGCAGAAAACACACACAACCACACGAAAACTAACTTTTTTTTAAGTTAAACTTCCCCCTCATTGATAACAACCAAAGCTGAGTAACAAACGTGAAATCTGACTATAAAGGAAACCAAACCATCTTTTCATTCAATTTTATTCATTTTTCTCTCTCTAAATTCCACGTTCTATTATGTCACTTCCCCTCGTGTCATTTCCTTCAACTTACACGTCTTCTTTTCACTCTAACAAAATTGTAAAACACTGAAAATCGTAAAACCCATTCGCACCGTTTTCTCTTCTCTCCAACATGCGAAATCGCTTTTGCTTTTATTATAAGCTATAAGCTATGTTGAAAAAACTACATGTATGTGTATTGGAAGCCAGAGACTTACCCGTGAAGAATTCTCGTGTGAAGCTTAAACTTGGAAAGTTTAAGTACAAGACAAGGATATTGAGAAACACGTTCTGCCCCATTTGGAACGAGGAGTTTGTTTTCAAGGTGAAGGATATTGCAGATGAAGTGCTTGATGTAATTCTTGTTAATCATAATGATGAATCAAAGGTGATTAACGGTTCTAAAGTGGATTTTGTGGGTGAGGTGCGGATTCCGATTGGTTCAGTTGTTTTTGAGGAGGATAATAAGCAAATATTGCCACCAACGTGGTTCTCTCTTCAATGTCTTAACAAGAGTGGCAAATATTTCAACAAATTTTCTGGTTTGTTTTCTTCACTCAATTATCTTCATTGATTACTTTACTTCTACTAGGTGGTCATGTTGTGTATGATAATGATATTGTGCAAGTTTTCATTATATATTGAGAAACATCTATAAGAAAAAATCAATTATTTTCCTTATTATAAATGTAGAATGCTGAAACTTCACTACATAGATTGTTTCAATATTTAATTTTGTGGTTCCTACTTTCTACAACATATCTTGAAATATATATGCTGAGTAATGTTAACTAAGGAACTCAAAGGTTAGAGTGGTGATTTAATGTGTTCAAATCAAGAGTTGGTGGTGCTGCATTTTGCATCCGGGGCATTTTAGCTGGTTAGTCACACTATACATAGCTGGATAGCTTGAGTCCAACTCAAAACATTTAACAAACTTATTGATTAAGTCTGTGAATAGTTCTATGGTGATAAAAATTGATTTCAAATGAATTGTTTGTAGCTAAAAGTGATTTGAAAGTAAATTGATTTATGTTTTGATACATTAACTGTTTTGAACATTAAATGTGTGACTGTTTTGAATAGTAAATTGAGTTATGTTTTGATACATTAACTGTTTTGAATAATAAATGTGTGACCGGGTAAGCTTGATGGAATCACGTTGAATTTTTCACGTATGGGCAAAAGCTTAATTTTGGAGCTTCAGCATTTTCACGTTTAAACTTGCATTGGGATGTTATATTTGGTTGCATTGGGATTTTATATTTGGTGTTCAAACTCGGATCCAAACACATGCTAAAAAAATTGTTCGAGTTAATTGTGGAATCATCGATTAGTGGAATCAAATCTCGAATTTTTTCGGCCATTGCCAGAAGTACTAAGCATTTCGACTTTTACCTTATACACTGTTTTGTTCCTTGAAGGTTTAACCATAGTTATTAATTTCTTTTGTGATTCTTGAACTACTGTTTTATCTTGATGGCTTGTGTTGTAAATGATCAGGGAAGATTCTTCTTACAATATCTCTTCAATGCAAGGACCATGCTTCTTTTATAAATCATAAGCATTCTCCAAACTCAACTACTGCATCTGAGGACTCAACAGACTTGGAAGGTATTCACATTTCATCTCAACCATCTTTTCGCAAAATTCATAAAATGGGCGAAGGCAAACATTTGTTCAAGGTTATTGCTAGGATTTTCAATAAAAAAGAACGAAATTCAAAATCCGCGGATTGTTCAGAATCATCAAATTCATTATCTGATAATGAAGATAGTGTACAAGAAAATTCATCTCCATGTAGCTTTGAAGAAGCCATTGCAATAATGGAATCAAAATATAACCAGCCAGAAAGTCCTGAAAATTTGCAAGGTGGTATTCTAGTAGATAAGATTTATGCAGTGTCTCCATACAACCTTAATGTATTTCTTTTTGCACCAAATTCACAGTTTAGGAAAGATTTAGCAGAACTACAAGAGACAACAAATTTACAAGAGGGAGCTTGGTCCTGGAAAGGTGAAGACATGTCTTGTTTGACTCGAGTTGTTACTTATACAAAAGCTGCTTCAAAATTAGTTAAGGCTGTCAATGCTACTGAGGATCAAACCTATATTAGAGTAGCTAAAGATGAATTTGATGTGCTTGTTAGTGTATCTACTCCTGAGGTTCCATATGGGAATACATTTCGGGTCGAATTGCTTTACAAGATAATGCCTGGAGATGTGTCTTTTGGAGAGGAATCTTCTCATCTTGTAATATCATGGGGAATTATCTTCCTTCAAAGCACAATGATGAAAGGTATGATAGAGAGTGGTGCTAAACAAGGTTTGAAGGAGAGTTTTGACCAGTTTTCCAACCTACTTGCTCAGAGTTTCAAGGTGCTAGATAAGGAAAACTTAACTAACAAAGAACAATTCTTAGCAACTTTGCAGACAGAAAGCCAGTGGAATTGGTGGCAGGCAATTGCATACTTCTGGAATTTCACAATAGTTTCCACGCTTTTTATGTTTTTGTATGTGTTGTTGCATATTTTAAGGTGTGGTCCAAGTCAACCTCAGGGCTTGGAATTTAGAGGGATTGAGCTGCCAGATAGCTTAGGAGAGCTGGTTACTAGTGGAATTTTAGTTATCCAGTTGCAGCGTGTTTATAATATGGTATCTCACTTTGTGCAAGCAAGATTTCAAATGGGTAAGCATGTTATTTGAACCTAATATGATTATATTTATTGACACTTGTGGTTAAAGGCGTGTACGGTGTCTAACACTTACAAGACAATCATGCATGTGGTTACATTCAATTCTGTTTTCATAAGTTATTATCCGTGTCCAATGTATATGGTGTCCTTATTTATGTTGGTGCTTCCTCGTCAACAAGGTTAGTTTTGATTTCATCCTCTTATGATAGGAACTGACCACGGCATGAGGGCACATGGTGATGGATGGGTTGTTACTATAGCTTTAATTGAGGGGGTTGACCTGACTTCATTGGAGTCAACAGGGTTGTCAGATCCCTATGTTGTTTTCACCTGTAATGGACAAACAAGGTCAAGCTCTGTCAAGCTTGAGACATCAGATCCTCAATGGAATGGTGTGTCCTTCTTACTTGTTAGTTATTTAAAAATAAATAAATTGTTTTGATATGAATGTTTCTTTACTTAAATTCCCTATTGGTTTTATACTAATATGCAGAGATATTAGAGTTCGATGCTATGGTAGAACCACCGTCAGTTCTAGATGTGGAAGTTTTTGATTTCGATGGTCCATTTGACCAGGATGTTTCACTTGGACATGCTGAAATCAATTTCCTAAAGCACACATCAACAGAATTGGCAGACATATGGGTCATGCTTGAGGGAAAGCCCGCCCTTTCTGTTCAATCGAAGTTGCATTTGAGAATTTTCTTGGATAACAATAAAGGAGTTGAAACAATAAAGGATTACTTGGAGAAGAAGGAAAAGGAAGTAGGCAAAAAGGTAAGTTTCCTTGTTCATGACAAATGTAGAACATTTAGAAGTTAACTACTTAATTAATCTGACTATTGATGGTTGGATTGTAGTTGAGTCTTCCATCACCGCAAAGGAATTCTACATTCCAAAAATTGTTTGGGTTGCCTCCAGAAGAATTTCTAATCAACGATTTCACGTGTTACCTGAAGAGAAAAATGCCTTTACAGGTAGTACATGTGGTAGGATAGACATATAATATATAATAGAATATTACGGCATCGTTTGATCCATCTAATCCACCCTACTCTAGGATAAGACTTTATTGTTGGTAGTTCATGTGGTTCACAAACTTTAAGCACAGACAATATAATGCTTCAGAGTGGAGAATTGTTAGAATGTCATTATGAACTTCATAAACTAAATGAGCATACCTTCTTATGCAGGGTCGGCTATTTCTTTCGGCAAGGATTCTGGGATTTTATGCCAATCTATTTGGACATAAAACCAATTTTTTCTTCCTTTGGGAGGATATTGAAAGTATTCAAGTACTTCCTCCATCAATAGCATCATTCGGAAGCCCGACATTGGTCATAATTCTTCGAAGAGGACGAGGTACTGATGCAAGGCATGGTGCCAAGACGCAAGATGAAGAAGGAAGACTTAGGTTTCATTTTCAATCATTTGTCTCATTCGGTTCTGCATCCAGGTATTATTAACCAGCATGCATATACTTCTAATCTTATCCACTAAGTGCATGCTGTGAATGACGATGAATCTGAGAAAATCAGGGTGGCATTGTCAGTTTCTTAAAGCTCTAAAATGTTGTAGTTTTTGCTAAAATCATTGTAATACTGGCATCGTGAATTTCTTAAAGCTCTAAAATGTAGCTTTTTCTTAAATCATCGTAATACTCCGTAATTCTGTCAAACTTGTTGATGGTATATATTGAAATTCAGCTGACAACACATTTTCTTTCTATGAAAGAACAATAACGGCATTGTGGAGAACAAGAATACTCAACCCCAATCAGAAAGAGCATATTACAGAAGAGCATGAAGATCAGGAAGTCTTGTTAATGCCTGAGAATTCTGGATCTATGATAGAAGCTGAGGAAAAAATGTCCAGAATTTACTCAGCAGAACTACCAATTAAGGTAACCAACCAATCACCATTAAGAGTTTAAGATTCTTTTGTACACAGTATTATTATTAAGCATTTCTTTAATCTGTTTTGTTACTCTTGCACAGATGACATCAGTGATGACGGGAGTTTTTGATGGAGGACACCTAGAACATAAGATTATGAAGAGAACCGGTTGTATGAACTATGACACTACAGATTGGGAACAAGTAAAACCTAATGTCCTTGAAAGGCATGTTTCTTACCAATTTAACCGCCATCTGTCAGTTTTCGATGTAACAAGCACACAACAAAAATTAGCAAATACAAACAATGAAGGGTGGATTGTGAATGAAGTTATGGTCCTTAATGGTGTCCCATTTTCTGATCATTTCCATGTATGCTAAACTTGAAACTCAGTCTTGTACTGTATTTTTCATAAATAAATTTTGTTCATATTGTTCCGTGTTACAAAGGGAACCTGATATTTTTGCTGCAGATTAATTTTAGGTACGAAATTGAGGAATCAATTCTCGCCGAATGTGCTTGCAAATGTGATGTATACATTGGCATTACGTGGCTTAGGAGCTCTAAGTTTCAGCAAAGGATCCACAGGAACATAACAACCAAGTTTAAAACTCAACTGGAGGAAATATTTGAATTGGTGCAGAAAGAGATTTTATTGATGTCTCAGAACTCATATGAGTAAAGGATAAATAGATAATGTATATATTAGGGAGATTTAAAAAAATGTAGTTTGTATTAGGTGAAATAAACGACATCTGTGTAGTGTGGCAGTTTGATTTTAATTTTCTTTTTTAATAGATAATCACGGTTAATGGGAGTAATACAAAATTAATTTAATTTTGTGCCAAAAAGTTATTGACCTATACTAAAGCTTGTTTGTAATGTGAAAGGAAAAAAGTTAAATAGATGACAATAGAACAATATATTACAAGGTTCAAATCTAAGAAGATAGCAATTCGGTGACAAATGAATTTCTTCTTTTTAACCAACCGTATATACAACAAATACATACTCAAGACATCCAAACTGGTCACCCATCAAAAGCATCTTAGCAAGTGGAAGATCCAGTGGAAACTCAACCATTTTCCAGCCAAGTTCAGTTAATCCGCCCACATTGTTAAGGGCATCCAACACCCACAACTGGTACATGGAAATGAGAATATTATCTTGCGGAGGTGGATCCATAAAATCGAAGTCGAGAGATTTCAGCAATAAAACCACATTGCCAAGGTTGGTCCTCTGAATCTCTGGAACAGGACTAGCCAACATTTCATTTTGGTAAGCAGTCTCTGTATACAACCGATAGCATGTACCAGGGCCTGTTCGACCAGATAGCATGTACCAGGGCCTGTTCGACCAGCTCGGCCAGCACGCTGGTCAGCTGCAGCACGGCTAATAGGGAAGACTTGGAGAGCATCCATACCCGTCCTAGGGTTGTACACCTTCATTTTACCATAGCCCGTGTCAAAGAAGATACCATCCACAGTAAGTGATGTCTCAGCAATATTAGTGGCTATAATGCATTTGCGCACACCACCTTCAGCTTTCTGAAATATCTTTGCTTGTAAGTCAGCTGGAAGCTGAGAATACATAGGAAGAATCAAAAGTTTTGGGACTTCTTTGTTTGAAGATGATGTCATCTGTTTCATTCTTTCAGCAAGGGCATAACAAGCTGCTTCAATCTCGTCTTGGCCAGTCATGAAGATAAGAATGTCACCTGGAGGGCTAGTTCAGTGAATAGTCATAGCCTGCTTCACTGCACCTTCAACATAATCTTCACATGGAGTTTTGCTCCATAATATATTGACAGGAAATGTTCTCCCAGGAATATGAAAGATCGGAACACTGCAAGGATATCCCAAAATTAGATTGATCTAAAATAAAGTTATTAACAGGAATAAGAAAGAATGCTAGCTAAGGAATTAACATTACCTTCCAAAGAAATTTGAAAATTTCTGTGCATCTAGAGTTGCTGATGTGACAATCAGTTTGAAATCACGGCGACTGGCTACAACATTCTTTAATATTTCAAAAAGGACATCTGTGTTTAATGACCTTTCATGGGCTTCATCCATAACAATAACCCTGAAACAATTTCAAACTGAATGATTAGTAACACTGTCTTAATTTCAAACAAACAATGATAAGTTCAGAGAAGTAAATTTATCAACCCATTACTTGTACTTGTCTAAATCAGAGTCTTTAAGCGTTTCATGTAGAAATACCCCGTCCGTCATGTACTTTAAAATTTAACCATAATAGTTTAGAACAAAGCACACACAAAAAAAAAAACAACGCATGTATATCTCAAATACTTTAAAGATAAATAACAATGAAAGGAAACCACATAACACTTAATAGTACTTTTAACAAAACACAATGATTAATTTGATTTTAACTTAGTGGCCGGGGTGGAAGAGTTAAATGATAAGGAGGTTAAAGATTCTATTTCCATCTACAATATAAAGCCAACATATGCTAAACTAAGATACTAATATTTTTCTCCTCTGTATGTGTTGGCAGATATAAAACCTCCTTTTCTAGATGGTAGAGTCGTTTTTACTAAGCAGACAGAGCCTATTATGGCAATTAGAGATCCAACATCTGATATGGCAATAATTTCTCGCAAAGGATCACTTCTGGTAAGAGACATTCATGAAAAGCAAAGTTACAACAACTCGCGCCAATGCTTTTGGAACTTGCTGGCTCTAAACTTGGTGATATATTAGGAGTTGAACAAACTGCAGAAAAGGTTCAGGAAAAACAAATTAAGACTAATAATTAATTTTAAGTAAAAAATTAATGTTTTTTAGAAAATTAACATTTACTAATTATATTAAAAAAAAGATAAATTATTATACAAAATTAATATTTATAATTATATGAAAAATAAAATTTGCAAAGCTTAAAAAGAACATAGGAAATAAATACATAAAATATGATAGAAAAATAAAATTAATATTCTAATTTGAGAAAATAATCTTTTTCGTCCCTTAATTTTAGGTCGAGGTCCTGTTTGGTTTAAAGTGGCAAGTTGATCCTTTAACTTTTAAAATGGTGTCACGTTTATCCTTCTGTCTGTTGCCATTTGTCAAAGCTTGAAAGTAGGTGTCACGTTTGTTCAGGCGGATTTTATGTTGTTGACGTGGATATACGATGTCTTAAAACAAATCCAAGTGTATTTTGCTTTCCATTATCCAGAAACTCAAAGGACTGTAGATATAGTTTTGGATTGTTGTATCAACGAAACTGTCTTAGGGTAAACTCAAACGACTTATAATCTCAGTGAATGATGCGTCGCATACGATTGTTGCATCAACGACGTGAAGGATTGAAGACGATTCAATACGTGTTTATCAAAAGGTTAGTAACTTTCTTTCTGATTTAGGATTTACGAATCTCTTAGGGCAATATCTGATTATGTTCAGTATAGAGTTTATGTAATTGTTTTAGTGTAAACTCTAATTATTTAGGTAATATGATTAGGTATCATGGATGAATACATAAATCTCAAAATTCATCATAGTGATGAATTCATCGATGAAGGTCTTAGTGTATATGAGAATAGAGTACTAGATGATTTTGAGAGTAGATGTCGATAAATAGAGTTATTTTGAGCTAGTTGGTGTATTGAAAGACTTGGGTTATAGGGAGTTTGAAACAATATATTACAAGGACCCTTAATTTGGGATGAATGCACTTGTTGATGACAAAGGTGCTTTAGAAATTGCAGATCTTTATAGGATGCACCAAAGTGTTGATATTTACATTCAACACACCTTGTCTCAACCTGACTACTGTGATGTTGTTGTTGATAATGTTGATGAGGGCTCTGATGAAATTGTAGATGAGGTGGAGGAGTTACTTAGTAAACTGCATGATGAAGTTGTTGAAGTTGAACAAACCACTCTTGTGATGGAGGAAGGTGATGTTGGAGTTGAACAAGCCACTGCTGGGTTAGAGGAAGGTAATCTTTGAGTTTATCAAGTTAATCCTGTAGTAGAGGAATGTACTGTTGGAGTTGAGGAAATTAATGTTGAAGTTGAACAAGTTAAATCTGCAGTGGAGGAATGTAATGTTGGAGTTGAACAAGATAAAGTTGGTGTAAATGATGATGACTTAAATTCTGATGATAGTGAAAATGAGGATTACAATTATGGTAGCGCTCAAGAAGTGACTTTTGAGGATGAGTCTGATGAGTATGATGACATTGGGGAAGAATGAACTTGATACCCTAATTGGGTATGAAAGTGATGGTAATGAAAAAGTTCAAAAACTAACTTAAAGAAAATTCTGTAAAAGATAAAGGGAGTGACAATAACAGTGAGGACAAGCAAAGTAGTTGTGATAGTGATGATAGTAATGGAGTTCCAAGAAAAAAATATCCAATTTTCAGGCAGGCAAAAGACATGTCAGATTACAAGTGGGATGTGGAAATGTATTTTAGTTCAAAGGATGATTTTAAGGAAGCAATAACATCTTATGCTGTGCAAAATAGTAGAGACCTAAGGTTTGTAAAAAATGACAGAGTTAGGGTAAGGGTTAGATGTAAACTTGACTGTGAGTCGGAAGTTTATTGTAGCAAGTTATCAAATGAAAACTCTTGCCAACTCAGGAAAGTAATCGACAAACACAGTTGTAGTAGATAATATAATGTTAAGTTGATAAGTACAAAGGGGTTGAGCAAAAGATTCAGAATAACTTGAAAAACTGTCCAAGGATGGCCATAAAGGATATCAAGGAGAACGCACAAAAAAAGTGGAATGTTGGGGTCAACAAAACCAAAGCAATAATAGCAAGATTTGGGAGATTACACAAGGGTCCATGACTACTGCCATGAACTGTTAAGAGCCAATCCAGGGTCAACAGTTAAGATCAATGTTGATCATGTACAAGAAGGTGTTAAGGATCACAAACCATATTTTAGAAGGCTTTACATATGCTATGTTGCATGTAAGGAAAGCTTTAAGTTGCCCAAACATGTAATAGGTCTAGCTGAGTGCTTTCTCAAAGGGTTGTATGGAGGACAGATTTTGATGCCATAGGGAGGGATCCTAATGACCAGATGCTTCCCATAATATATGCAGTTGTGGAGGGTGAAAACAAGGATAGTTGGACTTGGTTTTTAGAACTATTAATTGATGACCTTGGAGAAAAAGATCAATGTCTGACATACACCTTCATCTCAAGACAACAAAAGACAAAATTTTCATTTATTGTTATGCTTTTATATTTTTCTGTTTTGTAAACAAAGTATGTTATGCTATATTATTATGCCATATTTTTCTCTATTATAGGGTCTGCTACCTACTATGAATGAGATATTGCCAACGGTTGAGCACAGGTTTTGTGTTAGGCACCTCTATAATAATTTTAGGAAGAGGTTTTCTAGAAAGATGTTGAAGGACATAATATAGAAGGATGCCAAGTCAACATACCCACAGGCATGGGAAAGAAAGATGAAGGGAATGAAGGTCATCAATGAAGAAGCATTTAAACATATGATGAAGACCCCATCAAGGTTTTGGAGTAGTTCTTACTTTAAAACCACACAAAAATGTGATGTTGTTCTTAACAACATGTCTGAATCTTTTAATAGTGTCATTCTTGATACAAGAGCAAAACCACTAATCACTATATTGGAAGACATTATAATATACATGATGGAGAGATGGGCAAATAACATAATGAGATTTAATACTTTGGATGAGAATGACATATTGCCCAATATTAGAAAGAAAGTTGATGTCACAAGCACATACACTAATAACTGGCTAGTAAGGTATGTAATATCAGCATACGTTATTACTTAATTCCAAACATTACAGTCTAAACATATGACTGCTATATTCTGTTTGTTTAATTCTTTAGGATGTCTGATGAACATACATTTGAAGTAAGGCAATTGGAAAATCAAGCTGATAAATTTGTTGTAAACTTGAAAGATCATTTATGTTCATGCAAAAGATGGGAACTCACAGGACTCCCATGTGTTCATGCTTTGTCAGCTATGAAGAGTAGGAATTTCAAAATTGATAGTTACATTCCAGAGTATTATAGGGTTTCAAGGTACAAGGTAGTTCATAAGCATGTGATCTACCTTGTTAATGGAACAAACTTGTGGGTTAAGACACCATATCCAGATGTGAAACCACCTAAGTTCAAAAAGATGCTTGGTAGACCTAAAAAAAGAAGGAATCTTGAATAAGGAGAAATTGATGGGTCTGATCGCAAAATGAGAAGAACTAGTTTCATGGTGAAGTGTAGTAGGTGTAAGAAAGTCGGACATTACAAGTCTACTTGTAAGGACTCAACAACATATGATGCTCAACAATTAGGCCAACCCTCTCAGACTCCAACCCAGGCTGCTCAATAATCAAGCCAACCCTCTCAGACTCCAACCCAGGCTGCTCAAAAATCAAGCTAACCCTCTTAGACTCCAAATTAGACTGCTCAACAATCAAGCCAACCCTCTCAGACTCCAACTCAGGTTGCTCAACAATCAGGCATACCCTCTCAGAATTCTAAGGAAAGACTACTCGATAATCAAGCCAAGCATCTCAGACTTCTAAAAGAAAGGCTTCTCAGAAGACTCATGGACCTGCTAAGGGCAAAACACAAAAAGCTGCCTGTTAGGAAGCCAACAAGACCTGTTGTACCACCTGGGCCTACAACTAGGTTGAGTGCTGCCAAGAATGTTGTTGGCCCAATAACAATGAGGTCTACTCCAACAAATAGGACCACGTCAAAGAAGAACCTCTAGATATAACAAGGATATCATTTCATGTATTTTTGTTTTTTGGAAACCAATGTCATGTTTAATTAGGCTAGCAGTTTATCATTTTGGAATGTATTTTCAGTTTGGTGTTGTTTGGGACAAGTTTATGTATTTTTATGTTGTTTTGAACCACTTTATGTATTTTGTGGAACATATCAGGTTATGTAGCTGTTTTGGAATGGAACCAGATTGTGTCATAAATTGTGTGTTGAAAAAATGTGTTAAAAATTGCATGTTGAAAATTGTGCATCAAAAATTAGAACCAATGTATCATGTTCAGTGTTGAAAACTGATACAAAATTACAGGTCATTCTCTTAACAGACCAAATTTTGCAATCATATTCAAATTATACAAATTCAACCCAGCTATTGCTTTCATATTCAACTGATACAATCCAAAAGTTACAAATTTAACATAACTTAAAGCTAATTCTTACAAACAAAACTTAAGATAATTCT